CAAACCACGAACCTCGACCTTTCGAAGAATGCATGTTGCAGCTGTTGTGACGCGGTGAAAAAACACCCCAACCCGTACAAGACTATCGCCTGCTTCACCGACTCGAACCAGTTCAACTTGACCTCCCACGAAGCGTGGTGTTCTGCACGAACTCTGGAAGAATGGCCTCTGCCAATGGTTTATGGAGTCCGACTCGAAAGATTTTGTCACGACGTTGCTCATTCCCAACTGCTCGGGACTGGAAAAACACTAAACGGATCAGCACCAGTATATCCAGCCGAGTGCGGCGAATTTCATCCGAACTCTGTGTTTCCTTCCCCTGGAAAATATACCGTGAACCTACAGCTGGCTCTGCGTACAGCCTATCTGGATTTCAACAGCTGGGTCAAGCAAGCTGGTCTGCGTGTCAATCATCCTCGCTTCACGGTATCACGTGTGAACAGAAAGAACAGAATGACACATCCTTGCTTGTCATCCAAAGCAGTTTCAGGAACAGCAATTTCTTTTTGGTTCCAGGGTTTAGGGTGTAGGGTTTAGGGTTTAGGGTTTAGCATCATATACTCTCCCAAATAGTAACCTACATAACTACTATCCGAAACCTAAGTACCTGATTATTGGGTCCTTTGGACCCTTGGGGGAATATACCTCAGACCATACGAAGGATCCTGCTATAGTTTAAGGTATATTCCTTCACTTAGGGGTTTGGGGTTTAGTAAGGAATATACCTCAAACCATACGAAGGATCCTACTATAGTTTAAGGTATATTCCTTAACTTAAGGGTTTGGGGTTAAGCGAGGAATATGCCTCCAACCAATAGACTGGTAGGGATCCAACTCAAGTTTAAGGTAAGTCCCGTAATTCTTTCTAAACCCTAAACCCTAATTATTTTAGGAGGATTGTGGAAGGCCTGGAAACCTTGGCAGAGCCCCACGCCCCCTAATCTCCGAAATCTCACTAAAACCCCTAAACCCCTAAACCCCCAAACCCCTGAACCCCAAACTCCCTAAACCCCTAAACTTTCGAACCCCCAAACCCCTGAACCCCAAACTCCCTATACCCCTAAGCCCTAAACCCCCAGCTCTCCGATCCATCGTCCAAGCTTCGAGACCCCCCCCGAGTCTCAAACCCTTGAACGCAAAGACTGTCCTAAAAGCCTAAACCTTAAACTTTGGGTTCAGAGCTTAGGGTTTTTGGTTTAGGGCCCCTAAACTTAGACCGGGAACCTAAACCCTAACCTCCCAGAGATGTCCTCCACACCTTAAACCCCTGGTCGAGGTCAACTCGCAGGAATTGCTCTCGGGACTCGCAGGCGCCTTGAGGGGGTAATAATAATTACCAATACCCTTGGGGGGTGCCTTGTAGGTTTTAGGGTTTAGGGTTATCATGAATAATAAACCCTAAATTCTAAAATTAATGTACCCCCAACTCGATCCCTAAACCCTAAACCCTAAACCCTAAACCCTAAACCCGGGCCCCCATTTGCAGTAAGGATCATGGGACTTCGGGTGTTTTTGAGGGTACTGTATAGGGTTCTACAATTGGGTTCCCTTTGGGGTTTAGGGTTCTGTAGGGTTCTACAGTTGGGCTTGCTTTAGGGTTCTATAGTTGGGTTCCCTTTAAGGGTTCCGCAAGGGTTTAGGGTTTAGGGTTCTGTAGGGTGCTACGGTCGGGCTCCGTTTATTAAGGGTTCTACAATTGAGTTCCCTTTAGGGTTTAGGGTTCTGTAGGGTTCTACACTTTGGTTCCCTTAAGGGTTCTGTAGGGTTCTACAGTTGGGCTTCGTTTAAGGGTTCTACAATTGGCTTCCAGTTAAGGTTTAGGGTTCTGTGGGGTTCTACAGTTGGGTTCTGCAAGGGTTTGGGTTTAGGGTTCTGTATGGTTCTACAGCTGGGCTCCTTTCTAGGGTTCTATAAGGGATCTATAGGGGTGATAAGGGCTCAAAAGATCATGGGTCTTAGTAGGTAGATTATAATTGAGGTTTCTGTGTTTATATTTGCTTACAGCCCCCATTGCCGTACTTATAACCGCCCCATGATCCGCCAAGTAGGCTTTGCTTTAGTTGATGCGTTCTTTATGCTGCATTCTGGGCCTAGAGTGCTTGTGGCGACAAAATCGCAGTATCTCGAAATTAGTGGTACCTTGTTCAGGGCTCTTGATACTAAGGATTCTGCTATTTCGTTAGTTTCAGGGACTACCAGATCTTCACATCTCCAAATCCTTATGGTACCCATCGAGAGTATTTAAGGTACCCTTATACAGAACCCCGAAAGGGGTTCTGTATGGTACCCTTGTAGAACCCTCCACCGTCATGCTTACGCGCTCAGCCGTCGACCGCAGACCCATATTGGAGACCCTACGCAAGACCAGCCGGCCGAGAACTGAAGCCCGAAGCACGTTTTAGGCTTTAGAATTGAAGGCCGAAGCAGGCTTCCGGGTTTAGGGTTTACTATAAGCTCTCAACCCGAAATCCTGAGCCCCGAACCGAAAACCCGAAACCCCAAAACGGGAACTAAGCACTCACGCGAGAGCCGGGCTTCGTCATGTATGGGAGTTTCAGGCAAGCCCAGCAACCCTCTCTCTAAGGGTCCAAGTAGTCCTTATCTAGGGTTGTTTTAGTAGTAGAGTAGGCAACCTAGAACCTTCTTGGGCTAAACCCTAAACCCTATACAGTCCCGAAGCTTAACCTTTAGTTCTCCTCCCTAAACCCTAAATCCCTAAACCCTAAATCCTGAACCCTAAACCCCTAATCCCCTAAAGACCCTAAACCCTAGGATACTGGACGGTGCTTAAAAGGGCCCCAACGTCTGCCCTAAACCCGAAACGCTAAACCCCAAACCCTAAACCCCAAACATCTTAAAACCTAAACCCCAAACATGTTAAACCCTAAACCCTAAACCCCTACACCCCGAACCCTAAACCCTGAAACCTAAACGTAAACCCCTAAACCCTTCAAAGGGCCCCAAAGTCTGATCCTGGGGGCGCGCTTGCACCCTGAGGGTCTCCCCTAGGGAGTCTTTGTAGCTTCGCAAGGATCCTAGGATTTAGGGTTTAGGATTTAGGATTTAGGGTTTAGGGTTTCGGATTTAGGGTTTAGGGTTTAGGATTTAGGCTTTAGGGTTTAGGGTTTCGGATTTGGGGTTTATGTAGGGTTTAGGGTTCCTGCTATTTCTAAAGCTCATGTTAAGTAGGGCTGACTTTTCTGAAGCCTCGTAAGGATCATACTGTTCTGGGTCTATCTTAAATCAGGGCCGATGCTACTTGTTTTTCTGAAACCCTAAACCCTAAACCTGAAACTTCGTTTCAATGAAGGCCGCAGCTGAAAAACACAAGAAACCCGGCATGCGAGCGCTTTAGTTTCCGCACTCCAAAGTCGAAGCCCTACAGATCGACGAGGCTTGTGCCGTGCGCTTGTTTAGGGTTTCCCTAAAACCCCAAACCTTAAAGCCTGATCCCTGAGTCCTAAACCCTAAACCCTGATCCCTAAACCCTAATTAAACCCTTATAGGGTTTTCAGGTAAATGCCGGAGACCTCTGCGCAGGGGCGTAGGCGGTTGCTGCAATATCTCTAGGAATCCAGGGGTCCACCGAGGAGGCAAGAGTTTAACGCGGTGCTCCGCACAAATTTCTTGGACTTCCCGAAACCAGGCCCGAAACATCAGAACCCCGTGCCCTAAACCCTAAACCCTAAGCCCTGAACCCCTACCTAAACCCTAAACCCCAAGCCTAAGCCCTAAGCCCTAAACACGGAACTCTACCGGCTAGAAGGTGTAGTTCAACGAGAAAACCATGCATGGGCCCTTCTTGCAAGCCCGAAGGCAGTGACCAGAAGCAGCTCTTCCTGAAAGCCCTTGCAGGCCACCGAAATCTGAGACGTTCGAGGGACTGAGGTTTTAGACTTTGGGTTTTCAAACATACAGAATTTCGGGTGTTTTACGGTTTAGGGTCTCCTAAATTCTTAAATCTCTAAGCGATTTTTTCGGGTTCAGGTACGGGATCTAAATTGGAATGGAACCTTTCGGGGATTGGGCGGTGCAGGGTTGTGGGTGTCTGGGATTTCTGGTTTTTGTGTTGTGCAACTATAATATTAATATATATATATATGTATATATATATATATATGTAGATAGTAGACCCAAAAAGTTGGAAACCGAATGAAGGACAATTAGCGCGGGGCTCCCTAGACATTAACTACTCTTAAGGATTGAGGTCATGAGGTTTCCAACTTTTGGGCATCTACTCTAGTACAGTTGACGAATCTGCGATTTGGGGCTGAGGCTTCGAGGGGTTGGGGAGGTTGGGTTTAGGGTTTAGGGTTTAGGGGTTGGGTTTAGTGCTCTTGTTTTAGGATGTTGGTTACCGAGGTATTGGGCTTCGATTTCAAACATGTGGGATTCAGGTTTCGGGTTTCATTCAGAGCGGACGTGTTCTGGAGAACGGGAAGCCATGATGCTAACATGTTGGCGTCTCTTCTTTGTTGTGCCTTTTGGCCTAGAGCTTAGGATTGACGTGTCAGAGTTCCTTAGAGTTCGGGCATGTTGGGGTTTTACCCTGAATCAGTACTTACGCCCAAAATCCTAGAGTCCTAGCTAGAAGCCTCAAGTCCTAAGCTCTAGTGCCCCCTCCCCTCAACGTCAATGGCAAAGTGCGAAGCTAGCAGTAGCCTTCACGACGAATTTACGACCCTAAACCCTAAACCTTCAAGGACCCTGAACCTCAAACCTTCGAAAGCGAAGCTCTTCATCCTCAAACGAGCAGACCTGTCTCTTATGATATACTTAATGTAGAAGCCCGAGTAACTATAAATGCTGTTCTTGGGTGCTTGAAGACAATTATGCTAGAACGCCCCCCCCCCCCCACCCCCCAGAAGCCCATTCATGCTAATCATAAAGGTCCAAATATGAAACTCTCTACATCCTTCAGAACGCTTGTCACAATTCCTTATACAAATCTCTACAGAACCCCTTAAAGGAGCCAACTAGGCTGTCACTCTGTGACCACGATGCGTGATGGCTCCTTCGTCGGGAACCAGGCAGTGTCAATCACCGAAGCCTCCGCTCCGGGTT